TGTGGTAAACTGTGGTCAATGACATGAGACAAAGTATATGTGAACTGCTGTATGGAAAGTGAATTTGCTCTGTAAATCTTCACCCAAATCACAATAAAAACAAAACAAAACAAAACAAAAAAACTGAAGACCAAACTTGCTAATAAATGCCAAGTCCATAGAGCAAATGCAACTTATATAGGTATAAGACTGGACACAAGAGACATTTCCCTAGACTTCTCTGCTGTTTTCCTTGTATCTGAGTTAGTTTAGTCTTAACAAGTAGACCCATAGGAAATATCTGAATCTAAAAATTCCACCTACTTTTTTCATAGGCTTCTATCCTGTCTCCTACTAGGCTGTAAACTTCTTTAGAAAGATAATATCTTACTCATTTTTGTATTCTTAACACCCAGCACCATGCTTGCATATAGTAGGAACCCAAATAATAGTTGATTTCTATGTTTCCTAAAGTGCTCTATTAAATCTATTAATATACTGAAATTGTAATTAATAATTCTAACTGCTATTTATTGAGTACCTACTATATATAAGGTTATTTTATGTGTGTGAGTGTGTGTATATATATGCACATATATACACTCATTGCCATCATCTCAATTCTGACTCATGATGACTCCATGTGTGCAAAACAGACCTGTGCTACATAGGTTTTCAAAAGCTAATATTTTGGAAATAGATCATTAAGCCTTCTCCAGGGTGCTTCTGGGTAGACTCAAACTTCCATCTTTTGGTTAGTAGCCAAGAGTATTAACCATTTGTACCATCAAGGGAATGAATACACATATACATTATTGTTGTTGTTAGGTACCGTTGAATCTGTCCTGACTCACAGCAACTCTGTGTACAACAGAATGAAACACTGCCTGGACCTGCGCCATCCACACAATTGTTGGTATATTTGAGCCTATTGTTGCAGTCACTGTGTCCATCCATCTCATTGAGAGTCTTCCTCTTTTTTGCTGACCCTCTGCTTTACCAAGTATGAAATTCTCCAGGACTGGCCCCTCCTAATAACATGTCCAAAGTATGTGAGAAAAGGTTTCACCATCCTTGATCGTAAGGAGCATTCTGGCTATCCTTCCAGGGCAGATTTGTTTGTACTTCTGGCACTCCATGGTATATTTAATATTCTTTGCCAACACCATAATTCAAAGGCATCAACTTTTCCTTATTCATTGTTTGGCTTTCACGTGCATATGATGTGATTACAAATATCATGGCTTGGATTAGGCACACCTTAGTCTTCAAAGTGACATCTTTGCTCTTTAAAACTTTAAAGAGGTCTTTTGCAGTAGATTTGCCCAGTGCAACATCTGATTTCTTGGCTGCTGCTTCCATAGATGTTGATTGTTGGTCCAAGTAAAATGAAATCCCTCACATTTTCAATCTTTTGTCCATTTATTGTGATGTTGATAATTGCTCCAGTTGTGAGGATTTTCATTTTATGTTGAGGTAATCCATACTGAAAACTATAGTCTTTGATGTTTATCAGTAAGTGCTTCAAGTCTTCTTCACTTTCAGCAAGCAAGGTTGTGTCATCTGCGTATCACAGGTTGGTAATGAGTCTTCCTCCAATCCTGACACCAGGTTCTTCTTCATATAGTCCAGTTTCTTGGATTATTCATTCAGCATACAGATTGAATAAGTGTGGTAAAAGGATACAGTCCTGACACACTCCCTTCCTGATTTTAAACCATGCAGTATCCTCTGTTCTGTTTGAATGACAGCCTCCTTATATATGTACAGATTCCTCATGAGCACAATTAAGTGTTCTGGAATTACCGTTCTTCTCAATGTTATCTGTAATTTGTTATGATCCACAGAGTTGAATGCCTTCACATAGAAGAAAACACAGGTAAATATCTTTCTGGTATTCTTCTTTTTCAGCCAAGATCCATCTGAAGACCAGATGAGAAAGCAATGATATACCTTGTTCTGCATCCTCTTCTGAATCCAGCTTGAATTTCTGGAAGTTCCCTGTCAATATACTGCTGCAACTGTTTTCGAAATATCTTTCAGCAAAATTTTACTTGCGTACGATGTTAATGATGTTGTTTGATAACTTCCACATTCTGTTGGATCACCTTTCTTTGGAATGGGCACAAATATGGATCTCTTCCAGTTGGTTGGCCAGGTAGCTGTCTTCCAAATTTGTTGGCATAGATGAGTGTGAGTGCTTTGATCATTGCATTTGTTTGTTGAAACATCTCAATAGGTATTCTGTCAATTCCTGGAGCCTTGTTTTTGGCCAAGGCCTTCAGTGCAGCTTAAACTTCATCCTTTGGTACCATAGGCCCTTGATCATATGCCTCCTTCTAAGTGTTGAATGTTCACCAATTCTTTTTGGTACAGTGATTCAGTATGTTCCTTCCATCTTCTTTTCATGCTTTCTGCTTCTTTCAATGTTTTGTCTATAGAATTGCAACTTGAGACTTGAGTTTTTTCTTCAGTTCTTTTAGCTTGAGAAATGTGCATTTATAACCAATGTCTTTTTCTTTTCCTACTCCAGGTCTTTGCACACTTCATTATAACACTTTACTTTGTCTTCTTGAGCCACCCTTTGAACTCTTCTGTTCAGCATTTTTACTTCATCATTTCTCCCATTAACTTTGTTGTTGTTGTTTGCCGTTGAGTCGGCCCCAACTCATAGTGATTCCCCTTGGGTTTCCGAGGCAGTATCACTACGGAAGTAGGATTGCCCAACCTTCCTTCTGAGGAGTGGCTGGTGGGTTTGAACCGCCAGCCTTCTGGTGAGCAGTCAAGTGCCTTAGGCACTATGCTATCAGAGCTCCTATTAACTTTAGCTGCTCTGCATTCAAGAGCAAGTTTCAGAGTCTCTTCAACATCCATTTTGATTTTTTCTTTCTTTCTTTTCCTGTCTTTTTAATGACCTTTTGCTTTCTTCCTGTATGATATCCTTGATGTCATCCCAAACTCATCTGGTCTTTAGTCATTAGTGTTCAGTGCCTCTGATCTATTCTTTGAGATAGTCTCTAACTTCAGGTGGGATATACTTATAGACTGTCTTTGGTACATGGTGTATTGTATTTATTTTGACCTGTTCCTTGATTAGTTACTTTTCCCCAGTTCCTTTCTCTGGTTCTGCGTGGTGCAAGTGGTTTGTGATTGGCTACTAAGCAAATGGTTGGAGGTTTGAAACTACCCAGTGGCTCCAGGGAAGAAAGGCCTTGTGAACTGCTTCCTTAAAGATTAAAGCCAAGAACACCCTTTGGAGCAGTTCTGCTTTCTAACACATGAGTTTGCCATGAGTTGGAATAAACTCGATAGCAATGGGTTTGGTTTAGTTTTTTCTTTCTTTATTTATTTGGGAGGCTTTTTTTTTTAATTTTAATATTTAATGATCTAATTTTTGCTTTTATTTTTTCTTTTTGCAGATCCTGTTTGTGGTAAATTTGTAAGGAAATGGTAAGACTATAACTCTAGTGCTATTCTCGTAGACCTGAACAGTAGACCAGCCTAGCTGGTTGGGGCAGACTTAATCTGGGGCACTTGAAATGAAAGTCTATCTTGGGATTTTTGAGGAGATTACTATAGTTTCCCTTTGTCATAAGGCCCCTTTCCAATCACAGGTCCTGTGGGAAAAGGGAAAAAAAGGAGATAAAGTGAATATAAGTGAGGTAGGGAAGAAGATTGAGATGTAGGAGCGCTCTCCTTACGTTCACTCAGTTTTTGACTGGTTCGCTACAAGTAGTTTGTTACATGGTAGGTCTGAACATTTAAGGGCTAAGGATTCTAAATTGGCAGTCTCAAGTCATAGATTTTATGAAGCTTCTGGTCAGTATATCCCAGTCTCCTTGTATCTAATCTAATTGTAGCAAAATATTTGAAATTTCAAGAAAATACCTTTGATGGAAAAAAAGAAAAAGTGTGTGTGTGTGTGTGTGTAAATCACACACACACACACATGTAAAATAAATGCCCCTTGAAAAAATAGATGTTTACCCATAGTTTAGGGAAAATGAAGTCAGGAGATGAAAGAGAATGTAATGATTAGGGAGGAATACTATGGGTTTGTATCCATGGTTCATATAGATGAGAAATAAGTATTCTTCTTTTATGCATTCTTTTATTAGGTGGTTTAAAACCATTCATATATATTGTTATTGACATTTATTATATTATTTAGACTTATTTAGTATTGTATTTTCACCACACTCTCTAGTTGTTTTTCTTCTCCTTTCATTCAGTTAACTACTACTACCTTGTTTTTGTGTAATGCTTTTCACTTAAAAGAAAATAGCATTTTCACACCAGAATACTCAAAAGTTGACAGAGCAGATATAGTCAACTAGATTTTACTGAGACAAAATGAAATTCAGAAATTATATAATTTTTCCAAGATTATATGGTGACTGAGTGGGATTACTTCAAAGAAATAATGTGTTCTGGGTAAGCAAACACTTCTGTGACTAGGCAGTGAAACTTGTTCGTACCCAGTACATTTTTATACTTAAAAAAGATTGTGGAGAAAGTATTGGTATTTTGTATTTAGATTTGTTTTAGTTTTTTACTACTACTTGGCTTTGATTGATTAATTATTTGGGTTTGATTCTGTGAGGAAAGTATGCTATCTCATTACTTATTCCTATCCCCATTCTTTAAAAAATTCTTCACCATTATACAAATATGCCGTGCATGTCTAATTAGTTATGAAGAAACATTTTCTGGTTATAAGCAAGAATTGTTGTTAGGTGCCATCGAGTCAGTTTTGACTCATAGCAGCCCTGTGTACAACAGAACGAAACACTGCCCAAATCTGTGCCATTCTCAGAATCGTTGCCATGTTTCAGCCCATTGTCACAACCATTGTGTCGGCCCATCTCGTTGAAGGTCTTCCTCTTTTTCGCTGACCCTCTACTTTACCTAGTATGATATCCTTCTCTAGGAACCTGTCCCTTCTGACAAGATGACCAAAGTATGAAAGATGAATACTAGCCATTCTCACTTCTAAGGAGCATTCCAGCAAGACAGATTTGTTATATATTCTAGTAGTGCATGATACATTCAATATTTGACATGAATACCACAATTCAAATTTGTCGTTTCTTCTTTGGTCTTCCTGACTCATTGTCCAGCTCAGATGCATATGAAGCTATTGAAAGTTCCATGGCTTGGGTTAGGTGCACCTTGGTCTTCAAAGTTGGCATCTTTGCTCTTAAGCACTTTAAAGAGGTTTTTTTTGCAGCAGATTTGTCCAATGCAATACATCATTTGATTTCTTGACTGCTGTTTTCATGGGCATTGATTGTGGATTTACATAAAATGAAATCCTTAATGACTTCAATCTTGCCCATTTATTATGATGTTGCTTATTGGTCTAATTGTTAAGATTTTTGTTTTCTTTATGTTGAGATGTAATCCATGCTGAAGGCTGTAGTCTTTGACTTTCATCAGTAAGTACTTCAAGTCTTCTTCATTTTCAGTCAGCAAAGTTGTGTCACTTGCATATTGCAGGATGTTCATGAGTTTTCCTCCAATCCTGATGTTGTGTTCTTCTTCATATAGTCTAGCTTCTCAGATTATTTGCTTAGCATAGGAGGGGTCACTAGGAGTCAGGGCCGACTCGATGGCAAATAACAACAACAACAACACATTGAATAAGTATGCTGAAAGGATAAAACCCTGATGCACACCTTTTTTGATTTTAAACCATTCAGTATCACCTTGTTCTGTTCAAATAGCTGCCTCTTGGTCTATGTACAGGTTCCTCATGAATACAATTAAATGTTCTGGAATTGCCATTCTCAGTGTTATCCATAATTGGTTATGATTCACATCATCAAATGCCTTTTCACAGTTAATAAAACACAGCTAACATCTTTCTGGTATTCTTTGCTTTCAGCCAAGATCTATCTGACATCAACAATGATATCCTTTGTTCTACATCCTCTTATGAATCCAGCTTGAATTTTTGGCAGTTCCCTGCTGATGTATTGCTGCAACCATTTTTGAATTAAGCAGAATTTTACTTGTGTGTGATATTAATCACATTGTTCAATGATTTTCTCATTGTGTTGGATCACCTTTTGTGGTAGTTATGTTTGTGTGTCAACTTGTCTGGGCCTGGTTGATTGGCTGGGCAGCTGGTGGTAGTTATTTCCCATGATGAGACCGGCAATCAACTCCATAGTGGGATCTACCACAAGCAGCTGAGTAGCCACCTTTGGGATGTGATCTGCTTCCTGTATATAAGGAGAAGCCTTGGGGATAGTCTTGAGCTTATGGCACGCTTGGACCCTGCATGTAGTCGTGTCTCTGTTCAGCAGCCTGCCATGCTCTGCCGACCTTGGGACTTACAATGGACTTAAGTGAATGGCCTGCCGTGTGGTTTGGTAACATTGGGACTTTGCCTTTTTATTTGTCAACCTTGGGCTTCTCAGCCTCAGCAGCTGTCTGAGTGAAGAAATGCCTCTAGCTCCAGTGGGCTGGGAGGAGGAGGCAGAGCTGGACCCTGAGGTTGAGGGGCTTTAATCCAGCCCCTAGAGCCTGGCACTTTGAACTTGGACTTAAAGCCTCCAAACTGTAAGAGAATGGACTCCAGGTGTTAAGGCCATCCCATTTGTGGTGTATTTCTGTCAGAGCAGCACTAGGTAACCAGAACACCTTTCTTCTTCTTTTTTTTTTAATGCATTTTATCGAAATATAATTTATATAGAGTGAAATACACAAAACTGAAGTGATGTGGGTCAGTGCTTTTTTTTTTTTTTTTTTTTTTTGGCAGGGTTCCCTTCCCTCCCCTCCCACCCTTGGCAACCAACAAAAAAAGTTTCCCTCCATATATAAATCTTTCCTTGACCCTCCAGAACAGTGAACCAATACTTTATTTTTCCTCCTGTGATTGACTTATTTCACTCAGCATAATGTCCTCCAAGGTCATCAGTGTTGTGCGGTGTTTTGCAGAGTCTACGTTATTCTTTAGTGCTGCATGGCATTCCATTGGGATCACCTTTCTTTGAAATGGTCACAAATATGGATCTCTTGCAGTAGGTTAGCCATGTAGCTTTCTTCTAAGTTTCTTGGCATAAATGAGTAAGCATCTCCAGAGCTGCATCCATTTGTTGAAATATCTCACTTGGTGTTCCATCAATTCCTGAAGCCTTGTTTTTCTCCAGTTCCTTCAGTGTAGCTTGGACTTCTTTCAATACCATTGGTTCTTTTATCAGAAATTAATATTGCTACTCCTGCTCTTTAATGATTGCTATTTGCTTGATACATCTTTTTCCAACCTTTGATTTTTAGTCTATTTTTGTCTTTCTCTCTAAGGTGTATCTCTTGTAGACAGCATATTTTCTTATCCAGCCTGCAGCTCTTTGTCTCTTGAGTGGTGCTTTTAATCCATTGATGTTAAGTGTAATTATCAACAAGTATGAATTTGTTGCTGTCATTTTGTTATGTGTTTTTCGTGGTGTTCTTGGTTTCTTTGTTCCATATAATTTTCTGTGCCGAGCTCATTTCTTTATGAATCATGTTATCACTTCCTTCATTGCTATTGTTTTAGTATTTGCTGAATATTTATGCTAGTATTCTTTTTTCTTCTGATGTGAAGGTTTATCATTTTAGTTTTAGGTTACACTGTGATTTATAATTTTCTCCCTGAGTTTAGAACAGTCCAGTCTATTTTTCAACCCCCCCCTTTTTTTTAATTGTGATTTGGGTGAAGATTTAAAGAGCAGATTCACTTTCCATACAGCAGTTGACATACACTTTGTCTCATGACATTGACCACAGTTCACCACAATGCAACAGCTCCCCTCCTACTTCTTCCCCATAGTTACCTCTTCCCAGTGTCCATCCCTCCATGCACTCCTGCCCCCTGAGATGTCTCCCTGTGCATAAGCAGCCCTTCCTTCTCCCATGATTGTTCTCTCCAAGGAGTGTATCTACCTGAGGTAAATTATTTTGCAACCCTCTTGACTTCCTCACTATTTAGGAGTTCTGTAACTACACAATTTTTTCCCCTCTTTTTGGTTTGTAGTTATCCTTATTTGCTAATTGATGTCCGTGGTTCCCTGTTTACAATCTTGTAAGCTTGTTATACTTTGGATACTTCCATAAATGGGTTGATTTCTGGGTTATGTCATCATGTGTATTAATGGTCGGTGATTGTTTGCTATTATTGGTTTTCTGTTCAAAGGACTCCCATTAGTATCTCTTGTAAGGTTGGTCTGGTTTTAACAAATGCCCTTAATTTCTGCTTCTCTGGAAATCTCCTAATTTCACCATCATATTTGAGGGACAGTTTGCTGGGTATATAATTCTTCATGACGTAGTGCCTAAGGCACTTGACTGCTAACCAGAAGGCTGGTGGTTCAAATCCACCAGCCACTCCTTGGAAGGAAGGTTGGGCAATCTACTTCCATAGTGATACTGCCTCAGAAACCCAAGGAGGGGTCTCTGTGAGTCGG